TTTTTGTGGGGGATTTTTGACGTGTTAGCTCCGTTCTTCAAAGGACCTTACCGCCGGAGACGGAAATCCGTGGGATAAGGCGAGGTGTGCATTTTTAGGGTCGACCTTTTCTAATCCCACCTCTCCTTGTGGGAAGGCAGCATCGCTGTTATGGCCGGTAAGAGTAGAGAATATTCGTAGGCTACTAGTATTCGATCATAGGTGTCTTCGAAGCATTGCTCGTATATTCTGGGACCACCAGGTAAGTAATGCACTTGTTAGGAAACGGGTACTAGGTAGGGATGGCAAATCGATTGACGCAGTAGTAGAACTTGATCAATTGAGATGGCTGGGACATGTGTTACGTATGCCCAACCACCGACTGCCCCGACGTGCAATGCTTGACTATTATATTGAAATAATCCATTGAAACTCATATAAAACCTAATGAATATAAATTGAAACGGATTACATCTGTTCACTGTGTTTTTGTTGCTTTATTTTAAAACAGATGTTTACTGCATGTATCACGGAGTTCAAACATCACATTGCCAATAGTTACCTTCACGAAATTAATTCCATCGAGGATTTAATCAATTATTTTATGACACCTGTAGAAACACCAGATTTTTTATATAAATTAACATCAGATGCACAAAATAATATTTGTCAATTACCATCTAATTTAAATATACAATTAGAACCAGTACGTTATAATCCAAATGAAGATAATTTTTTCAAAGCTAATGCTTATCCTGGTCGATCAACTATTGTTAGTAATTTAGCTGCTGCTAAAAAACATCCAAGTTATCGTGTTAGTCGTTTAAAACGTGTTCGAGTTGAATATGAAGATATGTAGTCAAAATATCTTTTTCTATATTGTATAGACATAGTATAATTGTATATTAATGCAACTTTGTATATCCATTTATTGTTTTTCAATGAAAATATACTTTAATAATTTATAAGATAAAGATTTCCTTTTGTTTTTCGACTTTTGTGTTGTTTAAATCTTGTGATAGTGGTGTAGTTCATTCTTGTAGTGAATGCCCTGGTACGGCCGAGAGTGGATAGAGTCCTCTCTCCCTCTCCAAATGCTCTCACATGGCCACGCATATGTAGCCTCTGCTAGGGAACTCTTACCCAATGCCTTCTCGTGGCAGGGGTGTTGTTCACGAAACTGAGAGGACGAAAAGCGAATGTCCGGCGCCTCAACTGGGTTGGTCTCGACCGTTGCTGCTACCCTGATGTGGTGGTCGCGATTGCCTGTCGTAATGAACCAATCGAGCAATACTGGCTGGAACAATCGTTCCTGAAGGTCCTACCATGCCAGGCAGGTCGGTTAAAGAGCGTTAAGACTAAAAGCGGCAAACCCAAGATCCGAAGGCGAAGTCGTACTGCCGACTGTACAGAGGTGTGACAGCAGTAAAGTGTTTCCTTCAGACAACCAGCATGACAGCGATGCTGCCTTCCCACAAGGAGAGGTGGGATTAGAAAAGGTCGACCCTAAAAGTGCACACCTCGCCTTATCCCACGGATTTCCGTCTCCGGCGTTAAGGTCCTTTGAAGAACGGAGCTAACACTTCAAAAATCCCCCACAAAAGGGCCGTGTGTGACCGGCCTCAAGCAGTTGTCCCTTGAGCACTGCGGTCACGCTCTCAGGTCGTTCAGACCAACACTAATCCAACTTCTTTTACAGGTCCCTCAAGAAATACCCTTCCACGGTGTGGGCAACCGGGAAGTGATAAATGCCCTCATACTCGTAACAGCATACGAGACCAAGTTGCTCACTTTCAAATCCTTCCTACACCTCCTAATAACTCTCTTATCTCTACGACTAACCCTTCCCACGTTCTTTTATCACCTCGCACTGCTAGGGCAAACGATTCGTGTGCACGGAACGTTATTCCTGGTCTCCTGAAACCTCGCTCTAAACTACATGTAGGAACTTTTAATGTCCGAACATTATGCCAAATAGGACAACAGGCTTCCTTAGCTAGGACTCTACAATCTTACACCATCGATGTGTGCTGCGTCTCCGAAACGCGCATACAAGATCCGAGTAGCGTCATTCATTTGACCTCACCTAATCAAAATAAAGTTTCATCTCGATTCACGCTTCGTGTATCTGGAAGCCCTGATGCTGCTTCTCGTGGCCTCGCTGGAGTAGGTATAGCATTAAGTCATAGGGCAGAACTAGCCCCTTTAGACTGGATCCCAGTAGACAGTCGTCTATGCGCTGTCCGACTAAACGGATCAGTAAGGACTGGGAAAGATAGGGATACTCGTCGTTGCCTCTTCGTCATCTCTGCCTACTCTCCCACTGACTGTAGCTCAGACGATATAAAAGATGAGTTTTACAGGAAACTTTCTGACCTTCTCCGAAAAGCTAGGCGTTCTGATGTAGTAATAGTGGCTGGTGACTTTAATGCTCAAGTAGGTAAACTAAGTGAAAGGGAAAGACACATGGGAGGATCTTATGGTGTCATGGCGAAAAGAACAGATAATGGCGACCGTCTGTTGCAGCTTTGCTCAGATAACCGCCTATTTCTTGTAAATACTAACTTTAGGCATAAGGAAAAACATCTTTTGACATGGCGACCCCCGAATTCGTCCCAACGTTGGACCCAATTAGATCACATCGCTATCAGCCACCGATGGAGGGGCTCGATAGAAGACTGTCGCTCATTCTGGGGCACATGTTTAGATTCAGATCATGCTCTAGTGCGAGCACGTATCTGTCTGCGTCTTACTGGACGTAGGAAAGACACTGCAGGGAAGCCTCTAAGAGTTCTACTTAATGATAAGCAAGCTAAGAATATATTTCAAAAACAACTGGAAAAACAGTTAGACAGACTTGTAAGTTGTGTCCACCCCGAAGCAGCGTGGAATGACATCCGAAAAGCTGTGGAAACAGCTGTGATATCCGCTAGTAAGGTAAGCCATAAGGTCAGGGAGAAACAATGGATCTCGGCAGCATCTACCGCACTGATAGATGCTCGAAAACTCATCCCTCCTGGCTCTGAACATAACGAAGAGCGGAGTCAGCTTAAGCGAAGGCTAATAAGAAGCGTACGCAATGATCGTGAACAGTGGTGGGTAGGAAATCTGAAGCGAGGGAGAGCCGCAGGCCCTGACAGGTTTACCCCTGAGATTTTTAAGGATGGTGGTCCAGTACTAGCAGTGAGATTGACTGAGGTCTTAGGTAGAATCTGGGAACTGGAGGTAATTCCATCTGACTGGTCCCAATCACTGATTGTGCCAGTCTATAAGAAAGGACAAAAGTCCTCCTGTGACAATCATAGAGGAATCAGTTTGACTAATATAGTGTCTAAAATATTAGCTTCAATAATACTTGGACGCCTAACCAAAGCTCGTGAAGAGCAGACTAGAGAAAACCAGGCTGGTTTTCGACCTGGACGTGGTTGCATAGACCAGATATTCACCCTACGTCAGGTCACAGAACATAGACACAAATTCAGACGTCCCACAATAGTAGTATTTCTTGACCTTAAGGCGTGGTTGCATAGACCAGATATTCACCCTACGTCAGGTCCTAGAACATAGACACAAATTCAGACGTCCCACAATAGTAGTATTTCTTGACCTTAAGGCGGCATTTGACTCCGTTGATCGTGAGGTTCTATGTCAGTGTTTGTCATTGAAAGGAGTACCAAAGAAGTACATTAACCTCATAAAGGCTCTCTACTCGAACACAACTGGTCGAGTTAGAGCCTATGGCGAACTGTCATCAGAACTGATTACCACAAGTGGCGTTCGTCAGGGCTGTCCACTCTCCCCATTCTTGTTTAACTTTGTCATTGACATACTTTTAGAGATAGCACTTTCATCAGCTAAACCTCTAGGAGTTGAACTTTTACCAGGAGGCTCACTTGTTGACTTAGAATACGCCGACGACATAGTTTTACTCGGTGAAGATGCTGACAACATGCAGAGTCTTCTGACCACTATAAGCAACTATGCAGGCATGTTCGGAATGCGATTCTCTCCCTCGAAGTGCAAAATGTTACTTCAGGATTGGGTTGCATCGACACCTGAACTAATGATAGAGAGTGAAGTAGATGAGCGTGTAGACCACTTCACTTATCTTGGGAGTCTCATCAGCCCTTGTGGTCTGGTGTGTGACGAAATCTCAGCACGGATAGAGAAGGCTCGTCTAGCTTTCGCCAACTTTCGCCATTTATGGCGTAGGTGCGATATCCGTCTAGCAACAAAAGGACGGGTTTACTGTGCAGCAGTCCGTTCCGTCCTACTTTATGGAAGTGAAACATGGCCGATTAGAGTAGAGGATATTCGTAGGCTACTAGTGTTCGATCATAGGTGTCTTCGAAGCATTGCTCGTATATCCTGGGACCACCGGGTAATTAATGCAGATGTTAGGAAACTGGTACTATGTAAGTATGGCAAATCGATTGATGAAGTAGTGAAACTTCACCAGTTGAGATGGCTGGGACATGTGTTACGTATGCCCAACCACCGACTGCCCCGACGTGCAATGTTTTATGGTGTAGGAGCAGATTGGAAGAAAGCTAGGGGCGGCCAGACCAAAACATGGCACAAATCCATGAAGTCACTGACAAGTGGACTGGGCCATGTTGGTAGGTGTAGACTACCTGGTTGGGATTCGCGAGATGATAGCAACCGACGGTTAGAGACCTTGAATGACATGGCTCAAAATCGTTTGCAATGGCGAAGATGCATCCACTCTTTGTGTTCCACCAAATTCTAATCTGAATTCTTCATGTCTGTATCCTTTTTCTCTTTCCAAATTTATTTCATTGTATTATACTCCTTCAATAAGATCTTCAAACCTTAATCTTTTCGATTACTGCTTATACTCTAACTACTTCTATCACTATGGGATTTGAATCGACAACTGAATCTCTGTGCTAATGTGGTATGGCAAGTCGAACTGATGTACGTACGTACGAAGTTCTACGTTGTAACTGACTGACTGACTGACTAATTGGGTTGGTGGACACTGCGAGTCCACCTAGGAGAGTTGGAAAACCCTGATTCCAAATAAATGGTGCACATTGGCTTCAGTATCCATCTCCAATGCCTATCATTTATGATTCGCTCGCTCATGATCTTATGACTTTCTGGCCTGTGTCATTTGTCAATAAGACTGTAGCTGCCGTTTCTCTTTGCCTTCCGATATTATACACCGTTAAGATTTGTGTTATAACGGTTATTGAGGTGATTGATTAACGAAGCACGGCACTACACTGTATTGGGCTTTGTGATATGCTTTTTTTATCACTGATGATTGTGTAATTGGTATTTACAGTAGTGTAACACTTCTGAATTGAATTTTTCAGCTTCATATCTGTACTGCACCTGTTTCTGATCAGTTATATAATTTCTTCTTTTTCAAATAGTTGTTAGAAGATTTACGGTGAACTGGTTTTAGATGAGTGTCTTTTTCGCGCCTCGTGGTTTAAAATGTAACCTAAAACAACAACTTCCGGCAAATGGTGACTTAACAAATGAACAACTCTTATTGTACGTATCCTTTTATAAATCTTATTTACTGGAAGATTACATAATATATTTGGGGATTTAATCATGAAGGCATTATTGATTGTTGAATGTGGTTCCATAACTATTGAACGGTCAAAATCATCTCAACATCAACTATTTCGAGTAATTTGCAATTTTATTCACTTTTTAAATGGTTTCCAAAAAAATTAATTAAAATCGTTTATTTTATAGAGTTGAGATCATGAGTCAATTGAAGCTAGACCACCGTGGAAAACCTAGAAGCACTGGACGGCCCTTTCGTCCTATTATGGTACTCCTCAGAAATGCGCATCCACGATCCCGCACTCGCGATATTCGAAGCCAGGACCTACCAGTCTCGCGACAGAGCACTTAACCGATAGATCACTGCGCCGTCCAGTGCTTCCAGGTTTTCCTTGGTAGTCTAGCTTCAATTAACTCATGATCTTAACTCTATAAAATCACTAAAATCTCCATCAAACTCCTGATCAAATCGTTTATTGCCTATAGGTAGAATCAAGTTCCGGTTCAGTGAGTTACTGTTCAAATTGCACACGCTATTGTCGTTGTTTTAATACAGTACAGAAATATATTGATCCTTTATATGAATTATGGGTAAATATCTGTTATTGTTGTGTTAGTGTTATAATTTCTATATCTCTTTAGTGTGAACATAATCTTGCCATATTTCTAGCTGAAATAATGGGTAAAACAAAAGTGGTTTATTTACATGATGATGTATTTTGTCGATCTTTGGAGATGTTATATAGCAAAGATAACACTAGTACTAATGCTTTGGTTGGTGAAAGTTCTAAATAAAGTTTTCATTTATATGTATTGCTCCTTATTGGAAAATAAAAAAAAGTTTTTTGTTTTCGAAACTCAATTTTCTCATTATCTTCAAAATCTTTTTAGGATTTGTCGCACAAAGTATACAAACTCCCTTGAAAACTGGTTTAGTGAATTATCTTCACGATAATTTCCAAGGATTCGTCGTTATCAATCGTCCTGTTAATCGTTACTAAATACACCCTAAGGGTGTATGTATTTTAGAATGTGCCGATTACTGTTTATTATTGTATAGCACAGATCACTAAGCCACTGGGACACTAAGCGAATTCGAGCAGTAATGCTAATGAGAGCGGATTAAGAGGTTGAGTGGATTAATGTGATGTACATATAGGAAGGGAGGCAAAACCCGACTTATATGTCCTCGTCGTGCCTCCTGAATAGTGGAACTGTTTCCATGAACTAACGTGAGCGGTACCCGGGTGGTGGAGATTGGCCTAATCACCCGCTTTACCTATACCAACAAATGATAACGAAGGCTAGAAAGAATCATTGCACAGTTATTATTAGTTCAAAAAGAAAGAATAAATGAGTCTGCCCCCCAAAAGAAAGAAAGATCTGCAGAAAAAAATACAGAAAAGAAAGAAAGATTTAATGATTCCGCGTAAGCAATGCAAAAAAAGCTATTGAGCCCCGGTAGTTTCGCCATTCTTCGATATAGCATTCTTCTCCAGAAGGGCCTACTGGGCTTCACCATGTTACTATATCAGTCAGTCAGCTATAACGTAGAACCAGGCACATTTATGCATCGGTTCAAGTTGCCATACCTCGTTAGCACAACAAGATGAACACCAAATTCATAGAATTAGTTAATTTAGTGGTGGTAGTATATAAAAGAAAGGTTGTATATAAGGGTATAGTATAGGAAGGAAGACAGATACGAAGCGATTTTAATCTCAAGGTTTAAAGGAAGATAAAGAGTGTATACACGGATGCCATTGTGATCGATTCTGAGCCATGTCACCTATATGTAGGAAAGCAAATGATTTGTCGAACGATTTAAGCAACTAATATTTAGGTTAGAGAGAAAATTATGTGCTTAGACTGTTTCATGTAATGAAGCCTACATGTTTATTCAGATATGTTATTAGTAATACAAAGATAAAGATAAATTGTTAATGTTCGAATAACACTGTCTATTATATGCATTAATTGAATGGTGTGACAAAAGCTAAACAAATTTAAGTGTAGGTGACGTGTTATACTAGTTTACATTACTAACTAGCGAGGCTTTTCTGTTGATCATTGTAACAAATTTTGATTCGTAATGTGTTATATCTTCTAGCCGAGTGGATGCTCAAGTTAATATATGACATGATAAAACCGCCAATCAGAGAGCAGCGAATTATCGATCGGAACAGTGACACGAAAACCGTACCAGCAGTCTAGAATACTTATCAGTCCTGCATCTGTCTAGCCCAGCCAGTTAAGTTTAGAACGCCAATAATAGCCTCTGCGGTATGAATCCTTGATATTTCAAACATACTGAGTTTATATACCAAACAGACTGACCACATCGTACCAATAAAATAGAAAATAAAATTTGTACAAGAGTTGGCCAAATGTGGCTGTGAATAGGGGGAGCAGTAATTAATAGACTAGGTATAACTCAGGAGTGGTAAATCGTACAATAATAGTCTAAGGGTCAAAATAAAGCTTATAATGGGGGTAACATGGATATGAATAGTTTAGTTATTTAGCAAATATACGATAAAAAATATATACATAATATTGGTCCATAAATGGATCCCAAAGTTACCATTCACTATTGTTATCGTGATATAATATAATGCTATCGTTTTTGTCAAACAAGAGATTTATGGAGTGGGGATAAACTCCATCCAGCAACCAACCAAAATTAGGCGGTATTTATATACACAATCGTAACTCACGGTTAAGGGCGTTTTCTGTTCTGTTGTCTTTTCTGGCTTACATGAAAAATGTGAAGTTTTTATGACGAAAATACCACTTCATCGTGCTTCGGACGTATCAAGTGTAGCGCAGTCATTCATAGTGAACTGGAAATTACAACATGGCAAAAGTCGTACCCACAATTAATCGTATGATAGCAATTATTCCGAGAGATCTATAATTGAGTAACTGAACAAGCAAGGATGTAGCTGTAACTACTGACTACGATACACTTAAATGACTTGACAACGTGGAGTTCATCCCCAGCCGACTTATGTGGCACAGTAAGATTTTTTACTGTGGTTCTGACTTTGTTATCTGATTGCTCCATTCATAACCATAGAGTTACTCATTAGTAGGGTATTTCTTTGTACTGAAACTTGAAAAAATAAGTCGTTTATAAAATATACATGTACTCCTGGTGTTATACCATCTACTTTTTTACTTATTAACAGTGAAGGTATGCGCTTATAATTTACTTGAAACTGGGTGTCTCGTAAAGTTTTTCACTTGTGGATATATATGGAGACAACCATGGCGATATTAGATCATGAAGGTTCTAAAATTTTGGATCAATGGAATTTTAAAAAAAACGAGTTGAAAATGCGAATTTCTTCTCTCTTCTTGTCTTTACCTAAATTTCAAAAATTCTTGACATTTTCCTAATAAAAATTAAATATTCAGTTCAGTTTAAAATCAGTCTAAATAGATCGTCGCCCCCAAATGCCCTGGTACCGGTGTAAAAAGTAGTTCCCAGAACTAACTGATTTACCCGTTGGTGGATTATTGTTGAGAAAAGTTAATTCTGTTTACAGGATAAAATATTGATGTTATCCAACCCAAAGAAGATAATGCTACTAGGAAAGAGAATCAGAAACCGGAAATATACTATCAACATTATAGTAGCTTACTCTTATAAACTTAGATCCAGGATGGTCTCTCCTGAAACTACAATGTCAATGTCATTCATGCTAATTAGAATACGAATGAATAGTTGTTGCCATATATGCGTTCTTTGTCCTTATTCTCTTCCTTTCGACTCTTTTGTGTATTGTTTTATACTACTTATTAATGTATTCAGTAAATAGTTGTATTCTTAGAAATTTCTACACGTATGTTGTAACTCACGTTCGTCACAATTGATTGATCACTGGGTGGTGATCAATCTCATGCGTGTCAGGTCCTTAGTGCTGATCGAATGCTATCGATCAAGTTGCAATGTGGCCACCAGTCTAGGTGGCTCGACACTGCGGGCACTATATATATTAGGGTAACATGGTGGTTGGAGGTGGTCAACAGGAAACCCTGGACTCGGGTTTCGTGCTACTTGGCACTCGTCAGCAAGGTGTACCTGTAATCTTGAGGGAACTGATGCTCCCTGGCGGATTCGATCCCGCGTCACTCAGCTTCACAGTCAGAGACATTACCACTGAGCTATTCGGGCCGCGACCGACCTCCTGTAGGACTGAGATGTAATCACAATTGATTGATCACTGGGTGGTGATCAATCTCATGCGTGTCAGGTCCTTAGTGCTGATCGAATGCTATCGATCAAGTTACAATGTGGCCACCAGTCTAGGTGGCTCGACACTGCGTGCACTATATATATATTAGGGTAACATGGTGGTTGGAGGTGGTCAACAGGAAACCCTGGACTCGGGTTTCGTGCTACTCGGCACTCGTCAGCAATGTGTACCTGTAATTCTGAGGGAACTGATGCTCCCTGGCGGATTCGATCCCGTGTCACTCAGCTTCACAGTCAGAGACGTTACCACTGAGCCACCTAGACTGGTGGCCACATTGTAACTTGATCGATAGCATTCGATCAGCACTAAAAAGGACTTGACACACATGACATTGATCACCACCCAGTGATCAATCAATTGTGATTACATCTCAGTCCTACAGGAGGTCGGTCGCGGCCCGAATAGCTCAGTGGTAACGTCTTTGACTGTGAAGCTGAGTGACGCGGGATCGAATCCGCCAGGGAGCATCAGTTCCCTCAAGATTACAGGTACACCTTGCTGACGAGTGCCAAGTAGCACGAAACCCGGATCCAGGGTTTCCTGTTGACCACCTCCAACCACCATGTTAACTCACGTTCGTCTTATAACATTCTGAAATATTAACATATACTTATAACATTTATTGTATTTATTATTACAATTACTTTATCTTATTCATTGTAGCAGTTATCCTCTATGTCGCCTATTTGTTTAATCCTTGTTTAAACAAAACAGTCTCCATATCGCTTGTTAAATAAACTGTTACCAAGTTTGAACACAGCTAATGCCTGTCATTTGCATTATCATATGTTGTAATTATTCTTTATGTTACTATTGCAGGAAGCTCCTTTTATTTCAGACTTATAGACGTGATAAACGCCATAGACAATTCAATTTTTAAACACATTCCAATAATGATAAATTTGTAAATATTTTCGGTTAAATAAAATATTATTATGAGAACGGTCCACAGGTGAAGTTGAGGAAGCTCTAAGAAGCCCAGAAAGAGTCAAACATATTTTATCAAATTAGCTTTCGGAAAAATATTCTAGAATCACTACGTTTATCTTGCCTATTAGACAATGCTAATAACCCTCCTGTGCGCGGATTGGATAATTATAACGATGATTTTGTTTTAACTAAGAAACTATCAATACCTGACAGTTATGTACCATAATTGACATTGTTTGAAATAACTTTCCTCCTAGTTGTCTTCTCATTTTGTGCATTGGGAGGGTTCTAGCGTTCGAGTGCTCAAGTATTACGCGAGATATCAAGAATCTAAGTTGAAGATATAACAATTATGTTGTTTGAATATGAATAACTTGTGCCCGCGCACACACACACACGCACAGTGATAAAATGACATGAGTATTATCATGAATAAAGGGAGATGATTTTGTTCATTTTTCTGTAAATTATGTCAGAGAAAGAGAAGAAGAAAAGATAAAAGAAAAGTTTCAAAATAAGTAAATTCTCTATTAAGATTGTTCATGCAAACATTGAATGATTAGATATGTAATTGATTCATTGTTTAATTAGGTGAAGATAAAAGAATCTTAACGGT